GGGGGGGGGGCGGGAAGGCACAGGGCGCAGGGCGGTCTCTTGTGTGCCGGCACATTGCAAGCCAGGGCAGTCGCCTGTTGCCGGCCAGATCTTCGCTCCTCCTCTCCCTGGCCGCCGCCCACCCGCCCCCCCTCCCTCTATTTGCATCCTCTTGCCTAAGTCTCGGTTTCGCCATCACCCCGATGCGCATTGTCTCGTGGAACATCAACGGCATCCGGTCACTGCTGGAGGCGCCCGGGGAGCTGTTTGCCCCGGCGCAAGCGGCCCAGGGCCGGCCGGTACTTGGTCGCCTGGCCCCGGAGGAGGCCTGCCGTGCGGTGGCCGACACGCTGGCCCGCGCCGGCGGCCTGGCCGACGCCCAGGCCACCCCCTTTGACCAGATCCTTTATCGTTTGGGCGGAGGGCCACGGTGTGGCGCCGGGTGTCCCTGCGCCGAGCCGGGCGAGGCCGCGAATCCGGACATTGGCCCGGGGTTTTACGACTTGCCGGACATCGTGTGCTTGCAGGAGACCCGCGTCCAGCGGGACACCTTGCCGGAGGCCGCCTGCCGGGTCGGGCTCTATGATGGGTACTTTGCATTTGTGCACGCCACCGGCAGGGGCGGCTACTCCGGTGTGGCGACGCTGGTCCGGCGGCCGGCTGGCCGGGCGGCCTGCAGCAAGCTGCCCTGCCCCCGCGAGGGGGTCTGGTCCGTGAGCGAGGCCATGTCCAGCCTGCTGGAGCCCACCGAGGCCGAGAGCACTGCCGCCCTGGCTGCCGGGCACTCGGTGGATGATTGGCGCGTGGCTCTTGCCCACGAGGCCGGTCTCCAGCCGGGGCGCCTTCGCACCCTGGACAGCGAGGGCCGAGCGGTGCTGACGATGCACGGGCGGCCGGGCGGTGCTGACGGCACCAGCGACTCGCGCTTTCTCCTCGTCAATGTGTACATCCCCCATGCGGATGACTCGCTGCAGGTGGACGCGTCCGCCGGCGATGCGTCCGAGCTGGAGCGCCTCCTCTTTAAGCTGGACTTCTTGTGCCTGCTACGCGCGCGGCTGGATCGTATGTGCATCGCCGCTGGCCCGGCCCAAACGACTGGCCCCTTGACTGACCCGACCGTGCTTCTCGGCAACCAGGCTTCCGCCAAGTATCCCGCGTGCCCATCATCCTGGCCGGGGACTTGAACATTTGGCGCCGAGCGGAAACCGACACCTGGCGGGCCTTCTGGCCCGGGCCCGGGGCGCATTCATCCGT